AGTTTTCTTGTATTACTTGTATTAGTTATTGTAGTTTTTTTGTATTACTTGTATTAGTTATTGTAGTTTTCTTGTATTACTTGTATTAGTTATTGTAGTTTTCTTGTATTACTTGTATTAGTTATTGTAGTTTTCTTGTTATTAGTTATTGTGGTTTTCCACCACAGATAATTTGCTTCAGCTGTGTTCGAGATTGTTTACAAGATAAATTCTTGAATGTTATAATATTTACTGTTGGACTTGCGCGTTTATCTATAAATCATAATAACGTCATGGTTAATAAATTCCAGTTTTTTGTGTCCTTTAGTGCTTTATTTAGATATGTTTTATTTAAAGTTCTAAGGCATAAAACTGTGAACTTCTCATGAATGCGAAAGTACAGATTATTTTTGAAACGAGATGTTTCTACTAAAATATATATCAAAGATTGCTGTGAAAAGTGCCATAATTAAATAATTGTTGCGCCTCTGATGAACCGGTTTGATCTAGTTTTTACAGTTATTTCTTGTTTATCACTTTATTCCCTCTTTAAAGTCACATGTTTTCTACTAAAGTTATCTTGTACATGTCTGTATCCACATTTTTTTTTCGGATCAACATCACGTGAATAGCATGTTCTATTAAAAGTTGCGAAATACCTCGATACCATAAATGGTTTTGATGCAAAATAAGAAGGTTATGTGTATCATTTGATTCTATACAACATAAGGTCTAAAGTCCTGTACGTGGAGTCATCAAAGACAAACGTTGTCCGATCTCATCCATTTAACCAATCAAACAAGATTTTCATCTCACCTCCCCCCCTGGCGATAACCACGTGTGAAGACTATATGAGAAACGAACTTGGAACCCTTCTTCAGTTCCCTAAGTTAACCTCGCTGCTACGAGACACCCAGTTCCTGAGCTCACCATGGTCGATAGCGTGTACCGTACAAGATCACTTGGTGTTGGAGTTGAAGGGTTGCCTGATCAATATGCCGACGGGAAAGCTGCCAAAGTGTGGGAGGTTTACATTGGAGATAAGACATTCAGAACGAAACATTATCGCATGTTTCTGACTGGTCTCTTGAGAGACCACAGCTGTAAACACGTTCTTGATGTAGCTTGCGGCACTGGGTGAGTATAGAAAGTTGTTTAAGGTAGATTTAAGTCAGAACTGTAGTAATTTCTTGTACATCAGACATATTAATATCTGTAATAATTTCTTGTACACCAAACATATTCATATCTGATTTGTTACAAAGCGCTAAACAGGGTGTTAATGAAAAAGTTTATAAATTATTATATTTACAAAAAATATTTTGGCAAAAACATTTGAGAAAACTGTCAAAACTACTGTCTTAACTTGTAACGCAGTTTATTAGTAGTAGTTAAAAATGCCGAAAAACTCTGACGTAGCGCAAAGTTCAATATTTTATTTGCTCTTCTTTCATTCTCAATTTTGATAGACTTGGAATTTGGCTGGGTGTTCTAGTGATTGATGTGTCGGGCTGCGGATCGAAGGTTCTGGGGTACGAGATATGATACTGCTTAATTTGCTCAGCAGTTTCATTTGTGATCACGTTATAAAAATGACAGTGAATCAGTTTTTGTTTGAAGGAGCTAACGTAGTCGTTGTAGCGATAGGTACCGTTGGCTTACTGTTTCTCTGGTCAGTATTTTAAATTCAGGGACGCTCATAACTAATTTCTAGAGGTGAATAAGATTAAAGTTTTGTTAACAAACTTATTATTTATTTTATCAAAAAATCCCTACCTTTCATTAAGGTTTTTAAACGAAAAGTACTTGTTTTATACGAAAATAAAACTGTAATTTTCATTGTTACAAGTTATTTTTTTAATTTAATACAATTTTAGTCTCGAAATGGATAGGAAGAGAAACTATATTTCAACGTCACTATTCCTACATTGTTGACAAGATCATATACCCTTCCCAAGTTAAAGTCGCGTCATTCCAGGTTAAAGTCTCGTTAAACTGATCTGTAGACTTTAGACTACACCGTGTATGTAGCGCTGGCGGATATAAAGTCTTACAAGCACAGCTGAGTAATGTGATGCCATTATGCTTTATTTTTTCTACCTATTCTGAGATTATACTTATAGCTCAGGATTTGCTTATCGTTATAAAACACGTTTTGAGGGGAAAACAGTGGTTTCAGTCCAGTTAGCGTTTTTCTTTATATTCGTGGAGACGGACCTAGCCTAATGGTCAATATATCGAGCTACGAATGAGAAAGTCAAACATTCGAGCCGCAATATGTCGTTAAACACTTTGCGCACTTTCAATTGTTATAACATTGACAAATAATCTTGCTATTGGGGTAAGAGTAGCTGCTGTCTAATAGCTATGCTTCAATCTTCGGGAGGGGGAGGGAGGTATCTCTGACTTCGTCGTCTAGCTCGCGTATTTCACAATGTGTTGTTCATATTGAAAATACCAAATCTTTATTCATTCATAAAGATAAAAAAATCCCAAAGAGTGAACAAAACCAATCCTTATGTGTTAAACGAAAGATGTAGAGATAGAAAAACGCTGTAACTACCACAAACATTTATTTCGGTATTTTTTTTTAACAGAATCGACTCAATAATGTTGTTAGAAGAAGGGTTCAAAGTGACAAGTGTGGATGCCAGTGATAAGATGTTAAAGTACGCTCTTAAAGAGAGATGGAACAGAAGAAAAGACCCCGCTTTTGATGCCTGGGGTAGGTATAGAATGTGATGAGAAAACAGTATTGTTATTTATACCTTAAATATCCTTTGGAAATTTCATTTCAGTTATATATATATAAGTGTAAGCAAACATGGATGTGATTCCAAGCCAGTCATTGTGTACTGGAAATAAAACTTTGTGGCCACTGCGAGTACTGAAACCTACTTTTTTTTTGCGTTATAAGCCCGCAGACTTGCCGCTGAGCCACCAGGGGGCCAGCAACTATGAACTAATATAAATGGAAATTACGAGACGAAAATGGAGATAAATCTGTATTTAAAAATAGAGTGACGACATACGATTCGGCGAAAAATGATGCTATTGAAATTAGTTGCTTTACACCTGTTGCGGTTTAAACACGTTCAATGTCTGGTGCAAGTTAGAAGTGATAGGAAACAACTCTAGTCATCAGCGACCGACAGTGTCGCAGATTATGTTAAAAAAAGTGAAATCTTTACCTTATAAATAATATGATTAATAAAGTTTGAAGAAAAATGAAATGGCGATGACGAACCACAGTAAGAAGAAAATAGTTAATATTTAATAAAAGAACCCGAGAGGTAAGTAGTAGAGCAAAATGCGCATGTTTGACAAAAGTGCAACACATCGAAATTCCTAAGTTTTAGACATTGAATCCAAGATCTTCTGGTATAAAGTGAACTTATGAGATGGAGCGTTTAGTGAAGGCTTTTTACTATTATATATCTTATTATAAAGAACTCCAACTGTTATTTCATATGCAATGTTAATTGTGTTTAGTTATATTATAGGAGCTTTTTATGAGTGAAACTGGTAATCTCATCTTATTACAGGATTTTGAATATAACATTAAGTACAAAATTAGACAAAGGAAAATATTGTCATGTTTTTCAGTATTAACATGTGTGCTATTTGCTTTTTCCATCAGTGTTCAGCAATTGTTGAAGATGTGACCTGTGTACATTGAGAAAGTCAAGTTGGTGTTGCATTGCACTGATTTTGATCTCAATTCTATCTCCAGACTAATTGATTTGTGACCTCCAGATTTGGTGAGTGTGGAAGAATATCTGCGATTTAGATGATGACTCTCAGAAGACAGACTTGCCTCCGTAAGTACGAACTGTCTTCATCCTGGATTGGCGGCACTAGTGAATTTTCTGGCTTGAATTTTTAGAGAAAAATCTTAAAAATGAAATGAAATAACAGGGGCAATACTTAAGTAGACTCTGCAGGGCCAGAATGTGAACTCCTTTCTTTTCTTTCTTTGTAGTTATTGAAGAAGCTAACTGGCTAACATTGGCAGAAGATATCGTAAAGCCTGGAGATGGATTTGATTGTGTGATTTGTCTTGGAAACTCATTTGCCCACTTGCCAGACTTTCGAGGAGATCTGGAAAACCACAAAACTGCCATCAGGAACTTCTATGAGATGATAAAGCCCGGCGGTTATCTGATCATCGACCATCGTAACTATGACTACATCATCGATACAGGAAGTACACCAGCTGTGAACATCTACTACAATGTAAGTTTGAAGTTTCTTGCACTATAATACTAGAAGTTAATTTCTATTTGTGTGGTTAAATAAATTCACACACAATGGTTTTGTGTTTGATCAATTTGGTGGCATATGACGTACATGATAGACATAAGGTAATGTTTTCCTGCTAATAAAACTTACTGGTATATCACGAAATTTTAATAATGATTATAATAATACAGTGAATCGAATCTCAGATTTAATCATTGTAAGTCCATCAAGTTCTCGCTGATCTAAATTGGAACAAGGATATTCCACGAAAATATAAGCTACACAGTGGGCTATCTGCGCTGTCCATCATGGGGAATTGATTCCCTGATTTTAGCGTTGCTGTGCATGGGTGATACAAAAATTGTGTCTCCTAGTTAATATTTCAAAAATAATTTATTTGAATTTGACTCCATCAAGAACTGCTTCCTATATTTACCTAAGATTTGTAGACGAATTGCCTGTTGTCTTGATCCCTAAGCCTAATTGATGTAATAAATATTCTGGAGTAGAAAACTTTAATATAATAAACCATTTAATGCAATTTAAATTAAAAAGTTGGAATTATCAGTAAAATATCTTTAGATTTTCGAAACATTCCCGAGACGTGTGCAATACAAAAAATACTCATTTAGTTTTTGTTTTATAGAGTAAACATATTAAGAGCATTCAGACCTCCGTGTTGTACCAGAGTTCTAAACCAACATTGGTAACACTCGACTACACCATGGACATTTCTGACTTGGAGAATACATTTGACAGCACCGATACTGCCATTACCAAGAAAGGACGTTATGCTGGAGTTACAGTCGAGTAAGTACTGGTGTATATAAGTATTCTGTAAGTACTTTGCAACCAATACAACGAAAATTGTATCGTGAATTAAGTTTGCTATGGAATTTAAACAAAAATGGCGTTTTGACTTGTAACAATAATTTTGTAAATGCTATTATTTCTTATTAATGTTTGAAACTGGCGAAAGATTTGTGTTTTTTTTTTTTCGTTTAAATACTCAATTGAAACCGTTATTAAATTCCCTTAAAAATACAATTTCCATACTCGTAATGTTCACTGAAACTGGCTACTCGTTAATATAGATGTGTTCACTTTCTGAATTAGATGACTGCAATAATGACATTATGTATATTTTTAATGCTAATATACTCATCCTAAAGAAAGTGTTCAGTTTTTCGAGTGGGTAATCGTAAAAAAAGAAAAGAGTTAACTTCTCAAGCGAGTAATTTCAATGTATGACAATATGGATATAATCTTGAAAATACTATTTACTCAAACAAAAAACAATCAAAATCTGTGAAGTGTGTGCTTAAATATATAGATCTAGATTTCATTTTGATTCTCATCTTGATCATGTTAGCGTATCGCAAGCTTTAACGTTCTGCTTCTGAAATATTGGTGATTTACTGGAAAACTGGGTTCACCCTTTAAAATGATAAATAAAATCAAATTATTTAATCACTCATGAGAGCGACAATATAATTTTATTTATGAAATATAAATATCATTAAAGGATAGAACTATTTGTAAATATGTATAATTATATTATTTATAATTTATCAATAATATTTTGTTTCTTCTTTAATAATAGCCATTTCCGTTTATCATATTATCCACATCGACTGGAGCCTTTCTCTGGCATGCTTCGGGAAATCTTTGGGGAGGATTCTAAACATAATATCTACGGCGATTTCAAACCACTGGATAAATGTGAAGACGAAGCTCCTGCCTTTTACATTCATATTATTCAGAAGTCAAAGTGAATTGTAATTATTTTGTGTAATGACAACAGTTGTAGTGGAGATTACATCTCTGTGAGATAATATTAAACTTTTATTTTTTCATATTTTATTAGCAGGTAATATTTTATATGTTATGAACAAACCAAAGAAATAAAGTTTATATATATATATATTACGAAATCAATTTTCCTTGTCTTCATCAGAAATTAATTATTATTATTACTAGTTAACTAAACATGAGCGATATGTAATATCTAATTAGGTTAGGAAATATCACATATATAAATATTTACATACAGCTATCCACAAGTACAAACAAATATCTATTCGTACTCTAGATTTTTAAAATAACATCGTATACTAGATTGTGCTTCAATCTATTTTCATAAAAAAAATAATTTATTATAAAAAAAAAGATTCCGAACTTGCCTTTAATGTCTTTACATATTGTGCGCTTCATAAACAAACTGAATCAAATATTTTTGAGACATGGAATCCAGCACGTAATTTCGTAGTTCATGAAAATGATAATATTATTATTACATACAACGTTCTGTTAATCACAGAAGTTAATGCGATTAGATCTTATATATCAACACACACACTGCCATTGGGATTATATTACCACTCACCAAATAAAACTAACAAAAGTATAATACAAACTTGCCAACTGAATCGCCATTCACTACGAATATCACTGATTAGAAGGAATATAATACGGCAATTTTCTAATTGTTTTCATCAAATCAATTGTCAGATACTTTTCCTGTTTTATTTATTTCACAATCCAGGATTATACACCTCAATACGACTGGCGACAATTTTCATTACGTCATTTTTCACTGGTTGGATATGGTTGTTATAAATGCTTTCAACTAATAATTTGTACATTGATAGCTGTCTAGCCTGATGTTGTGTCTGATAAGGCATCATGCTTGTTACAAATCTAACAAAATTGAATATTATTATATAGTTACAGTAACAGTTTAAACTAGTATCACGAAGTTATGCCTTATACGATATCCACCAGTTACCCGTGGTAAGGCTAAGTTGTCGTTTACATAGTATCATACTTATTTAAAAATGTAAAAGGTTGTTATACGTCACAAAAAAAATACAGAACTTCTGTATATTTATCGGTAAATAACAGATCCGTAGCATCGTGATGTCAGTCCTAGTTTTGTACTTTTATTTTATTTTGATTAATATTGTAGTCTCATTAAATTATAATAGATACTTCTTACAGACACGCAAAGCTGTATCGTGAACAGAGAGAGGCAAAAACTGAAACTTCTGGAACATTCTCTTGTATCCATAATAGTTTTGTTAGTGTTCATCGTCTTTTACAAATTGTTAAATGGTATGTTTATCTTCGACACTTTTTAAATACTCACTATAAGCATTTATTAGATCTATGAAAACAAAAGTATAAGAGTATTAATAAAACTTGAACTTGTTTGATAAACATAATTTAAAACTGTACTCGCTTATTTGTAGCGCTGTAGTAAAAAAGATTGCTTCGTTTTGATTTGCTGTTGATTCCTACATTATGATGTAGTTTTCAGCTTAGATCATACTTTCGGATAGGAAACAAAATAACTTTGGAAAGTCGTGCCATCTAGTGAGCAACTTTGTAAGAGTACCAAGTGAATTTTGTTTTTGATATCGAAGGGATAAATGCAAAAATGTGTTACACTAGAGATCTGAAATGCATACTTATGAGTATATATTTTTTATTTGATATTACTAAACAATTCTTTGGAAAAATTAAAAATAAAAATAAGTTTGTCAGCATCAAAATTTCATTCAGCATCAAAAACTTTTAATACACTGTATTTAAACGTCGTATAACAATTTATACCGCTTGTCCAAAGAAAGGTACCTCAATGATAATCCCCTCTTTTTATCTAGTACAAAAACTATCATATTTAGTATATTTCTTGTACTACAGCTCTTGAGATTCCTTAAACCCACTACACAAAAGTTCTTTATCGTTATTAATATGTAGAAACTTCTAGAAAAAAGTAAAATCTTAATTTTATAAAAAATATTTTTTCTAGTTTTATTGTTATTATTGCATTTTTTGTTTCTCTATCTTTTCTAATATGATAATTGATATATGTGTATGTATGTATTTATGACAGTCCCTATAAAAAAGCAGTGGCTAGGTTATCGGCTGTATTGTTTTGGTTTGTTTTATTACATTCACTCTTTTACACGTGTAAAGGTTTAAATAAAAAATAGTGTTATTGCTCCGTGTTCATTTTATTAGACAGGTGTTTACTTTTCTTTGATTAGTTTTATCGTGATATATATAAGTAGTTTTTTTCAAGATTCAGTGAATCAATAAAATTTTTCTAAAGCCTACAAAGTATCTGTTGAACTCAGCGTAAGTAAAGAGCCCACTAATGTTGCCAGGCAACACTACCTAATTACAACGAGAAGCAAAATCTCACACAGGTACTGAACTTGAACTTACACAAGAATGAGAGATAAAACCGAGTATAAAGGTGTGACACTTGATAGGCTCTACAGCAAGTTATTTAAGTGTACACCTATACCGAGAAAAGAGCATATCTGATAGAGTTATAACGTTAAGCGTTAACTAGTGATAACGTTATGTGCAATAATGTGAATGATGCAGTTTTGTTGTGCACTTAGGGGCTAATGATGTAGGGAAAGGTAGGTCAGAGAAGCTAATTGATAAGCAGAAGGGGTTGATAAAGACATTTAAAAAAAAGGGGCATAACTTATTTGTGTCAGGGATACTGCCGAGAATTAACTGTGGGGAACAAATTATAAGTAGTTCACTAGGGATGAATGCTAGGCTTATATTAAAATGTAACGATGAGCAGATTGGCTGTTTGGGAACATTTTAAAGGAAGAAGGAAGCTTTTTGGGATGGATGGTTTACATTTAAATAGAGTAGGGAAAAGGCTATTAGTGGAAATTTGTTACAGACGAACATATGGTAATGATGAAATTAATAAGAAAATTTAGTTAGATTAAGATTTCAGCTGTTTATGGAGTAATAATCATGGGTGATATTCATTTCAGGTATATAGATTGGGAAATGTTAGAGTCAAACCATGAGGGAAAAATGTTTTTGGAAACTGTTCAATATGATTTTCTTTACCAATTGGTCAAGGAACCTACTAGAAACAATACTATTTTAGATTTATTAACTTCTAATATAGAAGTGTTGGAGAAGATGGAAATTAGAAAACATCAGGATGCAAGTGATCATTGCTCTATTAGGTTCAAGGTTTTGTTGCATATGGAGATAAGGAATAATGATATTTTGGTTACAAATTTCAAAAAAAGCAAATTTGGAGATTTTGAAGGGACGCAACAAGAATTATCTGTTGTGAATTGGCAACTAAGATATTTGGAGACGCTGATCATATCTGGAAAATTTTTAAAGATAAATTTTTAAATATTCAAGATAAACATATTCCTTATGGAAAGAAAAGAGTGGTTGCAAATAAAAAAAAACAGGTAGGTTCATAAAGGACATAAGGTATGAAATTAAAAAAGAGTATCACAAATTTAAGAAATTTAAATTGACTGGTATGACGGGAGATTGAGAAGAGTAGAGAAAATGAAGAAATTGGTCAAACGGGAAATTAGGACATCAAAAAGAATGTATGAAAGTTATTGGCTGAAAATGTCAAAGTTAGCAGTAAGGATTTCTTCAAATATATTAAGGGTAAACAAGATGTTAGGATGGGGTAGGGCGTTTAAGAGATGTTAAGGTACGGCTAGTATCTGATGATTATGAGATGCCTGGACTATTAAATTCTGTCTTTACTAATGAAGATTTAAGCAGTATTCCTCATCTTGAATAGTTGATTGATGGGAACAAGATCGACTGCATTAATTTTGAGCTTGTTAAGAAAAATTTGGGAAGTTTAAAGAACAATAAGTTTCTTGGGCCAGATTGTATTTCCCTAAGAGTTTTGAAAGAGTTTAAGGATTGGATATGTGAGCCACTTGCTATTGTTTTTGTAAGTTCTTGAATAGTGGTCAGGTGCCAGAGGATTGGAAGTTAGCTAATGTTACTCTTCTTTTCAAGGGAGGTGATAAAAATTGCCCCAGAAATTATAGACCCATTAGTCTTACATTAGTTGTGGGAAAAGTTTTGGAAAGCTTGATTAAAGATGATTTGCAAAGTCATTTAACAAATTTTAGAATTTTATTGGATAGTCAACGTGGTTATAATTTCGTTGTAGGTCATTGGTTAGGCCACATTTAGAGTATTGTGTTCAACATTGGGCTCTTTACCTTCAAAAAGACTTTGAATTGTTGGAAAGGGTTCAGAAAAGGGATATTAGAATGGTGCCTGGGATGGATCGGTTGTCATACAAGGAGAGGTTAAGATCTCTCAAATTGTTTTCTCTGAAAAAAAAAAAGAGTTATAGAGGATCTGATTGAGATGTTTCAGATTAAAGGAATTGGTAGTGTTGATGCATCATCTTTTTCATAATTAATGGTGAGAATAGTAAGACTAGGAGACACAAATATAAATTTGGATAGGGTAGGAGGCATCTTCAGCTAAGAGAGTTTTATTTTTCTAACAAGGTGGTTGGCCTTTGGAACGGATTGCCTTCCGATGTTGTGGAGGCAGTAAATTTAATTGGGTTTAAGAAAAGTTTAAGAAAAAGCTTGTTAACTATATCAATGATAAGGGCTGGCTTTGAAGAATATTTTCTTTCTTTTTTTAATTTATTAGTTAGTTTAAGTTTAGTTTAGAGGATAGAACAGCCAAGATGTACCAACAGGTCCCTGGTTGTCTCAAACTATTATGTTATGTTATTACAAATAAAAAAAAAGAGAACAAACAAACGCGGTTTAGTAAGTCATAGATTATAATTTCAGTTATGGTTTTATTTATTTTAGTTGTATAATTTCATTAAACGATAATAGATACTTCTTACAGACACGCTAAGCTGTATCATGAATAGAGCAAGGTAACAACCATTTTGTTGGTGTGAACGTGCGCTGTAGTCACTATGAAAAACCTATACACTGGATAGGTGAAGGAAGTGAAGAAAAAGTGTCATTGGCCATTATTGAGTTTTTCATATTATATGCCGCACAATAGAA